AACTTCTTGAGGGAATAATTCTCTGATGGGTCCCCATGTATAGAACCATTGGAGAAACCATTTAGGAAATTTTAAAGAGATTCCTCTACGAAACCAGAAGAACCAAGAATGTGTCTTGGATTGCAAATATAGCATGTATGTCCATGCCATGGTGTAATCATAATAAGTGTATGTTTGGGGATGAAACTGTCTTGAGAATGATTTTGGTTGATGGATGGGTTGTCCCCATTCTTCAGGAGACATAATCTTGAGGATCTTGATTTTGGAAAATTGAATATTGTTTTCTGAATGAGTTTCCTCTTCTCTTGTAGGCACTAGCTGCCATAGACATCATACAAATGTGATCTAGTAAATTTTGCTCACTCATACCATCTATATTCCATTCAACTATATCACTTCCTGAATAACAATTTTGTACTAATTCTCCTCGTTCTTCGTAAAGAACATCTGCTGGAGAAGGCCTGGGATAATAAGTTCTTGTTTTTGGATAATGAGTTTTAATTTTGATGATATTTCTTGTTTGAAAATTTTGAAAATTTTGATGGACTTTCTTGTTTTAATTTTGATGATAAAATTTCTTGTTTTAATTATTATAATTAATAATTTGAAAATTTTGATGAAAAGAATATCAATACTAAAGCAAGACCAATTCAAATGAATTCCCAATATTTAGAATACTGTAAAAAAGAAATTCAAGAATATTTAGAAAAAGGATTAATTAGATCTTCTAAATCTCCTTGGAGTTGTTCAGCTTTTTATGTATTAAATGCAGTCGAACTCGAAAGAGGAGCACCAAGATTAGTTATTAATTATAAACCCCTCAATAAGGTATTAAAATGGATTAGGTATCATTTACCTAATAAACAAGATTTAATTAAAAGATTAAATCATGCAACAATATTCTCAAAATTTGATATGAAATCTGGTTATTATCAAATTGGGGTGAAAGAGGAAGATAAGTACAAAACTGCTTTTAATGTTCCGTTTGGACATTACGAGTGGAATGTACTTCCATTTGAATTAAAAAATGTCCCTTCAGAATACCAAAATATTATGAATGACATTTTTTATCCATATATGAAATTTGCATTAGTATATTTAGATGACGTATTAATATTTTCCAATTCTATTAATCAACACATAGAACATTTAAATACATTTATTAATTTAATCAAAGAAAATGGATTAGTAGTGTCAGCCAAGAAAATTAAAATATTTCAAACAAAAATAAGATTTTTAGGTTATGAAATTTACCAAGGAACTATTACACCTATCCAACGATCAATAAAATTTTCAGAAATCCCAAATGAGTTAAAAGATAAGACCCAACTCCAAAGATTTTTAGGTTGTGTTAATTACGTGGCAGACTTTATTCCCAATATTAGAGTTATATGTGCCCCACTTTATGAACGCCAGACAATAACTAGAAAGATAACCAAAGGTAAGAAACAATAAGGTAACCAGCTTGATCAAACAGTTATGGATCTCTTCATTATGGGGTTCCATCAGTTCTACACTTCAACTTCCACCCCTGGTTCTGCTAGCAAAAAGAATAACCACATGAAAAATAGAATCCAATAGTCTTTTCAAGATCTCTAAAGAAAGAATCTGAATTCAATGCTAAACAAAGGTAGAACAAGTCATTCGTCAAAGGGGCATTTTCATTCCTGAGAGTGGAGTCCTGGGTAACATTTTGCATCAATGTAAAGTGTGAAAATTTGGCACGGTTGAACTTGAACAAGAAGGATATGCTATTTATCAAACACCTTAAATTCAAAACAATTTCACCATTCTCTTTTTCCTTTTCTTTTTGAACATGATTGAACAACAATATCAAATTCAAACCATATTGATAAAGCATACATCAAATTAGGAATTTTTTGTCAACTTTCACAAGAGTTCTGCACGCATACATCCCAACAAAGATAACATGAAGAGTCAAAATTAAACACCAACCATTGGTCAAAATGAAAACTAGTACTAACTACTAACCATACACACACTGAGATGACATAGAGCTACTAACAACTTAGCATATTATTTCCAATATAATGAAACAAATTATGGATGAAATTCACAACATGCAGAAGATACATTTGTCCAGGTAGATCAGATTGAAATGACACAGCCATAATACAATTAAGTTCACAGTCACATGCCCACTTACAAATGAAGGACAGATTGATAATCATTAAACAAAGTTCACTCACAGCAATGAAGATAAGTAGAAGAAACTGGTTGGTACTTTAATTGACAACAATGGTTCCGTGCTTTAATTGACAAATAAATAATGGTTCCGTGCTTTAATTGACAAATAAATAATGGCAAAAATTAATAAATAAATTAAACTTTCAGCATAAAAGTTTGCCAGCATGTTCGGATAAGATTAAATTTGGAACTCGTTATTCATAAATCAATATTAAGAACTCCTTATTCAACGATTGAAATTATTAAAATTTAATATAAAACATAAATTATCGAGTAGATTTAGTCTAACTAAATTTATTTTTTTATTAAAGTCAATGTATATATATATATATATATAATCAACTGAAGCCTGATACCGTCAATGGACTTGTTTCTATTTCTTGATTTTCTATTTTTATTTTAATTGTAGTCATTGGAGGATATTCTGAAATAATAATTTTATTATCTATTTTTTTCCAAGTCTTATTGGTTTTTCTTAAAGGATTTATTGATTTAATAATATTATTTTCTTTACAATAATTTTTTAACCAATCAAAGAAATAAATATTAATTTCATTTTCTTCCATAAAAGAATAATAAAGATTTCTAAAAGTAATAGTTTCTTCTTGAGTAAAATTTGCAAAATACCATTCTCTTAATTTTTTATTGTAATCAACTTTAAAATCTTGATTAATCCATTTTTTATCAATTTGAAATGGTTCTTGTTTTGTAAGAGTATTGAGAATCTGAGAAGCAGAAGGGTTGTAATCTTCTTCTTCTTCAGTTTGTCTTTGAATATTTTCATAATGGGGTTTTGCTATCTTAGAACTAATATCTAATTTAGTTAAATCTATATTGATAGTGGAGCCATCAACTGAATGTCTCGCACTATTTCCTTTATAAATCATTTGTGGTAAATTTGGATCTTGATCTATTCATTCTCAACCTAATATTTGTTCCTTCTTGGACTATTTCTAAAATATTTTAATAATTAAATTTAGTTTTTAAATCGAAAAATATTGATTAATAAAGTTATGTAAAATATTTAAATAATTTAAGTTTTAATTTTTAAATTATTATTTTTAAAAATTATTAGAATAAATAGAATTATTATTAAAAAATTTTTGAAATTTTTTTTTATAAATAACGACAAATATATGCAAATACTAAAAAATCGGTGGATATATACACAAATATGAAAAGAAATATGTGATACATATTTATTCAAAGGATGGGTAACAAGGGACTATTATGTATATTTGTTCTATCTCGTTGACATTCATATATATTATCGTGACAATGTCGTGAACTTTCCCATTAGATCCCTTCCCCCTCTTCTTGGAGCTCTTCCTCCTCTTTGACGTAGCCCGCCTTCTCAGCTATTACAAAAAATGTTATATATAACGATATATAAAAAATATTATTAAAAATATAATATATATAAGTATAAATTTATTTAACATATATGATTATACAAAATTCTAATACCGATTTTAAATGAGATTCAATAATATATTATGTATGTTATTATATTCTATCTTTACATATTTTAAAAATATAGCATATATTATATCTATAATATTGATAAAAAATAATTTTTAGTAATAAATATTAATTGTATTATTATAAAATGCAAGTCATTATAATATGTGTATCATATTATGATAATTTTTTTTTTTGTAAAGACTCTGCTCCACACCAAGTCCATAGTGGAGTCCTTAGTTGAAATAAACAAAACAGTGAAAGTGAGAATAAAAACAAAATAATAAATTGATATATACATGGAGGTTGAAGTGGTCGTCTGGCTTAAGGGTTTACATTTATACCTCTTCATTTGTTGCGAAGGAGGAGGAGGAATTTGTATTTTTAAAATTGATTAATGGACTATTAATTTTAAAAGTGATTTCATTATTTATAAAAATTTTAACATCCCATTTAAAATTAGTTCCATTTTAACTGATTTTAAATCCTAATAAACGTATCTTTTTTTTCTATAGTGAGTTGTTGAAATGAAAATCCTTTTAATATCTAATAGTAGCAATTATCAAAATTATGCTATAGTAGTTTGCTTCATAGACATTTTTTTTAATAGAACATTATATATGTGTCGATAGCAACGCTCAAGATTTATTATACAAAAGATTTATCATGTTATGTTTGTTTTAGATGATTTAGAATGGAATAATTGAAAAGGAAGGAGTATGTGGAGTAGAATCTAGAAATAGAAAGTTTTGGTAGTTTAGTTGGAATGGAAATGGAATTAAAGAGAATGAACATATTATATGGGGCTCACGAAGAAATTATTTCCCTCAATATTAGACCCATGACATAGAACGGAAATGGTTCATTTTGGGACATTGGTGGTAAACAATTTCACAAGTATCTTTTTTACAACTTTTTTTAATTAAATACATTTTTTTTTGCATAAATAAAGAAATATCAACTTTATGATTAAAAAGTTAATATAGTAAAATTTATATCCATATTTAATTTAATAATTTTTAATTAAAATAAAAATTTAAATTTACATAATATTTTGTTTACTTTTATCAATATTATATAATTCTCTTAAATTAAAAAAAATACTTTTTCATTTCCTCCAAAAAAAAAATTCTTCATATAATACATTTTAATTTCACTATTAATCCCTTTTAATCTAATAATTTAAATCAACTTCCCTCTCTCTATACATTTTTCATCACAAAACAAGTCAACCTCACTGATATTGTAATGAAAAATAAGAACCTTGGGGTTAAGATAATAAAAGGATAACACTAGATGCTATATATAGTCCCACTTAAAATTAGTGCATTCCGTCCAAATCGAATAAAGAAAGAGGCTAGTTGCATCATGCAATTGACACACTACCATTGCCTCAATATATAAGGTGCATGACTGAGTTTATTAATAGTCAACAAGAAGGGCTTGTAGAATTCTAAGGCTAACCTCTCGCATTTCATTCATGGTGGCTATGAGTGGTTTAGCAATATGACGAGATGGGTTTTCTTCTCCACCATCATCTTGCTTGTGTTTGTTGCATGCACTTTCTTCCTGGAAATTGATCTCGTAAGTCTCTCTCATCATATCATCCATCATATATCATCAATATCTATCTATCTATCTCAGCGTATTTTAATTTGGTCTATATATTATTTATGTAAGTCTTCATTAAACCTTGGATATATACCATGTATGTATGCTTTTGTCTTTCTTTGACAACTTCGATTGATTCATATGTTGTTCATCTGTCTCTCTCTGGGTTTAGATTGTCTCCCCCCAAAGACCCTAGAACGAGTTTTCAATTCGAATCACATATAGTTGTCTTTCTATTTCTTTGTCGATAATCTATATTCATCCAAAAGTTTAAATACAAATTATTGTTATTCTTAGCTGTGGGTATATTTTCATCCTGGAATTCAGCCAGAACCTATCCTCGTCCAAGGTCAATCTTATTATCAAAGACTTGTCCAAGCAAGCTAAACCCCAAGGTGATAATGAAAGAGAATAAATAATACTAATTAATGCCACGTTTAATATGCATTAATAGTGTTTCTTAAAAAGAAAAACTCGTGCAAACTTTTTTGTGCGTCTCTCGAACACAAATATCTTTTATTAGAAATAATTTGATTTGATGAGTTGAATATATAACTATTATAGATAATAAAATTCTTTTCTCAAATATTTAATGTTACATATAAATGATTTTAACTTGATACATTAATTAAGTTAAAATAATTTTGTGTCAGTTAATATATGTGTTCAATGATAAAACTCGTCTGATTCTAATTTGTATATAGTAGAACAAAAACAACGATATTTAATTACGAACAACCATTAATACCTATCAATTCTTACTATTTCTCTTTTCTGTTAAATCATATTATGTTTTTGTTTAATCTTTTTCTTTCTTAAGTATTAATTAGGGTGTTGGGTGTCCAACAGCAATTTTTGATTGAATAATAACTGAGCCAATGTTTAGGGGTGGACTAAAAAAATATTTGTGGTATGGATAAAATAATATTAAATGTTATTTTTTGAACGCACTAAATCGACTCAATGATGGAAAAAATTGAATAATTTATGTAATTATAAAGTCAAACATTGTTATCTTATTGTACATAAAAGAAAATGCCATGTTCTGTTCTGTTTGTTTTTAGTACACGATGGTACCAAGTTTTTTTATTTTTTTTTGATGAAGGAAATTATGCGATTAATTAATAATCATCATTACATTTTGATCTATAATATGTGTAGTTGTGGTCATGGGTCTCCTTCACATGGACCATTACTTTTAAAACCACCAACACTCTGTGCACGTTGGATTATTATGAGTGTGCATTTGTGGCACACACGAATAACTTTTTATTCGTTTTCTTAAAATATCTCTCCTAGGACACATCATACATGATTTTTTTTTTAATCTATAGAATAAAATACGATACTCAAAAGATTTATAACACTCACACATCATATTTAATTAAGTAAATTAAATTTCTTTAATTCATATTTGATTATTTTAAGAGAATTTTTTTTTTTTTTACCATTATACGCTGCAGACATTTTAGATAATGAAGAAAGCTCCAACAAACAATTACCTCTAATGAGAAATAGAATCCGTAAACACTTATGCAAACACTAACATCTAAGTTAGAAGATATTTCAACATCACCATTAATTAATTACGTCATCTTATATATAACAACAACGCTTAAATAGTCATTGTACGCGGGGTGGACTCAAATACATTTGAAGGGTGAATTTCTGACTTTCAAAAACTAATATAAATATATGTGTAGTGTTATTATTTTTTGCCCCTATTTTTATAGTTTAAATCTACTATCATTATTTTTTGAATTGTTATTAATTTTTTTCTGTTGTTCATTAATTTTTTTACATTATGTTTTGATCTCTTTTCAGTTGATTGGGTGCTTTTATATTTTATATTTAGTTGAAAATTTTATTCATATGAACCGTTTCTTCTTCTTTTTTTCCTTTAATATTTATATCTTTATTCTCATATGTATAATAATAAAAATTATTTATTTTTATTTTTAAATAAATTATCACTGACTTAAGATACTTAATTTGTCACCGATTGTGGGCCACGTGACATGTCCATAATAGTTATTCCCAAATCAGTCGTTTTCAGGTAGAAACGACATTAACATAGGGAATTAGGTGTGTTCTTGAATAATTTTAATTTATATTTTTTTCTTTCTAAAATCAAATAACAAACTTACGTTAAAAAAAAATATAACAGTAATGGCATAGGTATTAAATAAATATAAAAAATGATAAAATAATCTCTACTACTAATGTAAATTTTTCATATTATTATTTCCTAAAAAATAATTATGTATAATAATGTTATCGACTTTTAACATTTTTAAAAAGCCATATCTATCATAATTTTTTTTTTGGTTACTTAACCGTATAAAAATCTTTTAAACTGTAGAAAGTTTACAAAAAGGTACAATCTATGTTGCTAGCTAGCACATATTTTTACATAACGATGTTACCTTTTTGTCTTTCAGTCTAGAATAGCAAGCACCACTTTTCTCAAGACAATTGTATTCAACGAGCAAAAACCTCAATTCTTACTTAACTGCACTGATGGGAACTCAGCAGCAACATGTTCATCATACTACCCCACAACATTTGATCTTGACAATGATTCATCATCAACCGCATCATGTCCAGAGTACTTCAGATGGATCCATGAAGATCTCAAGCCATGGCGGAGCACAGGCATCACAAGGGACATGGTGGAAAGGGGCAAAGACACTTCACATTTCAGGCTTGTAATTGTGAATGGAAAGGCTTACATAGAAAAGTATGCTAAGTCATATCAGACAAGGGATGTGTTCACAATATGGGGCATTTTGCAACTTCTAAGGTTGTACCCTGGGAAGATACCGGATTTGGAGCTGTTGTTTCAGTGTGGTGACAGAACTGTTGTGTTCAAGAAAGACTTCCAAGGGCCACAAGCCATGTCACCTCCCCCTGTGTTCCATTACTGTGGAGAGGAGAATTCATATGACATTGTCTTCCCTGATTGGACCTTCTGGGGTTGGTAAAGCTTCTACTCCCTTTAGAATTAAATAAAACATTAACAAGATATAGGATTTGTTTGAATATAAAGTTAAAAGAATTTTAATGAGTTTTTCTCCTGAAAAGAATTCTTTACTTTTAGTAGATAAATGCTCTAAAATTCTTTTAAATTTGTATTTAAATAAGTTCATAAAACTTTTAAAGTATTTTGTTGATTTTGGAAGTGCATAGTATATAAACAATGATAAATAGGAAAAAATGATTGTAAAGTCTTATGTGACCATAATTTCGATCATTCTCCACGTGACATATAATTAGGTTATTTAATTAATAAAACTTTTCTATATGTCAGATGAAGATTAACTGAGATCACGGTGGTTTGAGAGACTTAGCATGCAATAATGTTTTGAAAAGATGAATGAAGTAAAAATCAAAAGTTTTTTTTATAATTTGCTGCATAATTGGTTTTAGCAAATTTGAATCCTCTGTTATTATCAATTTCTGATACTAAGCACATATTTGAGTAGTGGTGAATTTGAATTAACATGATAGTATTTTGAGAGAGAAAGCTATAAAAATAATTATAGTAAAACTTCTTATTGGTTGTTTTTAGGTCTATTAATTTTGTTTGAGAGGACCTAAATCTGGGTGGTAACCTCTTTTATTTCTTCTATCAAGTTTTATCTCTAATAATCATGTTTGAAGGCACAAGTGAGTTCGTTGTTTTTCCTTTACAAAAGTAAAACTCAAAAGTTATACTTCAATGTTTTTTGTTCTTTACCAGGGCTGAGCTCAACATAAGACCATGGGAAACAACATTAAATAATATAAAAGGAGGCAACAAGATAGTGCAATGGAAAGATAGGGTACCCTATGCTTTTTGGAAGGGCAACCCTGCAGTGTCTAATATTAGGAAGCAACTCGGCAAGTGCAACGTCACAGAAGAACATGATTGGAATGCAAGAATATATGACATTGTAAATATATAATAATTCCAACCCTGCCTTTTGTTTTAAGTGATTGCATTAATTATTTCAAGATGAAATTAACATAATTTTTCTTCCTTTTTTTCAGCAATGGCAGAAGGAGAAACAAAGCAATTTCGAGAACTCAAAACTTGAAAATCAATGCAACTTTAGGTAAATTCTTTAAGCACTTTGTATGATTTTGATTTTTTTTTTTTGAATAATTACTAGGGGTTAATATAATTATGTCTGTGTTGCATTTTGTGATAAGATATAAGATCTATGCAGAAGGGGCCACGTGGTCTGTGAGTGAAAAGTACATAATAGCATGTGACTCAATGACCATGTTCATAGAGCCAAAGTATTATGACTTCTTTACAAGAAACATGTTACCTTTGAAACACTATTGGCCTATCAGCACCAAAAACATGTGCGAAGACATTAAGTATGCAGTGGATTGGGGAAATACTCACCTTGACAATGTAATCATTTTCTTCCTCTATTTGCTCCTAAATGATTCCTATAATTTATCTACCGTCACAGGGATTTCTCTAACTCATTCAACAAGTGATTAATACTGCTCATAATACTATAACTATTGTTAAGTTGACATATTTTTATACATGACAGAAGTGAAACACAAATTTCCTGTTAAATAGATCGCTCTTATGATATATTAATGCAGAAAAATAATTCTTATACTTTAAACCAATTAAAGCTTGTTGTTTGCGAAAACTTTTTTGGATAAGCTATAATCATAAACGAAATTAGTCTCTAATCAGTAAATTGGAAATATCCATGACAAGACAAAAAAAAAACTCCTCTTGAGCTGAAACTAATGATTTCTAAACACTATAATTCTTTGGCTAAATTAATTGCAGGCACAAGCAATTGGAGATGGAGGAACTAACTACATCTTGGAGAATTTAAAGATGAAGTTTGTGTATGATTACATGTTTCATCTCTTAAATAGTTATGCAAAACTATTGAAATTCAAACCAACCATACCCCCAGGAGCTGTTGAGTTTTGTCCTGAAAGCATGGCATGTTCCCTCCGTGGTCTAAGGAAACGATTTTTGGTCGAGTCAATGGTGACATCACCAAGTGATACACCTCCATGCACAATGCCTCCTCCTTATACACCCCAAACTCTCGAACAGTTTCTGCAGGAAAAGGAAAATCTGATGGAACAAGTGAAGACTAGGAAGATCAATACAACGCAATAGAGATTGGTGTTCATTGTGTTAGAGTCTGATTGAATTCAAGTTTAGAATTTTTTTTAGAGTTTATTTACAAATTTTGTTTCTTCTTATTTTCAGAAACACTAAAGGATTCTTCCAAACTTGTATTGAAACATGAGCTTAGTCTATATACGTAGATGTAGTTATGTATGCCACACTATATATCAATTAGTTGAGCATTTTTTTGTTAATTTATATAAAGTTTTTCAGTTATATCTTGTTAATTTGGATTATGACATGAATATAAAGCAATGTAATTTCCTAAATATTTCGGACAATACATCCTAATTTGGCCTAATTCAAAATCGAGATTGTATCTTTCTCTTTTAAGAAGTTTAGGAAATAAGTAAATTGTAATTTTGGTCTATAAAAGTGTTGGGATGGGTAACTTTTGCCTTTGAAAGAAGAAACTTGATGAAAATGTCCTTGAAAATATGATTCATCGGTTATTTCAGACTTTATATTAGCAGTAGTAAAACGTTAATAGATCAATTTATGTATCACATTAAGTGTTACACCCAACCATTACTACTGCTTGTCCTTCTCTGCTCAGATGTGGGTGTAACACCATGCAGTAATTAATGGCTATGATAGAAAACGGCAAAGGCAAACATTCGGTAGAGCCCAAAAGATTAAAAAAATAAAAAATGATGAGGCTTGATGTGACCCAATATCAATTGAGGCCCAACAACTCAATTGTATCCTCCTTTTCTATTTAGAAGGTTTTAAATTTATTTAAAAGCGAGGGATATTTTATGGTTGTATTCTAACTTTTTTTCCCCCCATCAATATATATTTTAAATATGAAATTAAATAAAAATTTGTATAAAAAAAATAATTTTGCTCTTAAAAATGATAATTGTGCTCTTAAAAATAATAATTTCACTTATTTTTTCTTTTTTCATGAAAATACGGGGTGTTTTTATTTATTTATTTATATATTTATTTTTCATGCTAGTCTAGCATAAGCCCTTTTTTCAATAATTTTAATTAATTTTTCCAATTACTAATTAACTTAACATTAAATGTTTTATTCAAATGCTACAATATAATATATAAACACACCAAAAAAATCATGAGATTACTAGACTTTTATATACATATAAAAAAATATGGAGGCAGCGCCATAGAAGGTCATTTAAGTCTGTCCCCAATTTTTTTAATGTATTTATATCAGTAATTAACATATCTTTAGTTTCATATATAAAAATCTAGACTATAATTCATTATCAATGGTATGGTCGATGAAAACAAAATGTATGAATATAAAATAACAAATAAAAAGTATTATGCTAAATTTTTAAAAAATAATTAAAAATCATAATAGTAATATAAAAACAACAACATTGATAAATAAATTTAAAATTTAAATCAATAATAGAAATAATATTTAGTCGTTTTTTTAGTGTTCAAAATTCTTGTACACGGCACTGGATGGAGGTGAAGCTTCCAAGTGTTAATCTACAATAAATAATAAATAACAGATGATGATCGTGTCAACATTATACAAAAACAAGTTTAAAAGTTAGATAAGCATAGTCTTTTCTGGTCGCACGTGTCTGATGACTTTGATTAGCGTAATCGCAGAATTTTCTATTCAGAAAGAATAACATTCTATGTACACATGGAACTTAATTATAAAACTCTTCTGATGTTTTGTTCGGTCATGCATGCATTGTTTTCCACCCAGTATCAAATATTTGTTTTTATCTTTTTAATATGGAAGAAAAAAGAGACACCAAGTTAGTTGGATTCAATTGTAATAATTGAAGGATTAATATTGTGTTAGCTGTGTGTGCATTTGTTAAATTTGGGTAGGTTAATTAATTAGTCTCGTTTTGATTTCATCCAGTTGGTTTAGTTTCTGTAAATGAAAAGTGTTGCTTTATTTTATCAACTATAATTAAATTCTATGCATGATATGCCATGACGTGGTGGTTACCTATAAAGATTCAACTATAAGCACGTAATTCCTAATACGAATTCCTCGGTATGGTTGACTTTTGCCACGACCTCATTTATACGTAGTGGTATTTACAAGTATTTTATACTATTTTTAATTAAAGTTAAAATATTCCTAAAACAATTAAAATTAAAAAATTTAAATACATTTTTAATCTGTGTAACATAAGCTATATAGCATGAATTCAGATAAGATACGAATACACGACACAAACACATAAGTGGATACAACAAAACCAAAGAACATAATACATGAAGATGACATACATATAATATATAATCTAAATAACATGACAAAAGTATTATATATTAATATAACAATAATCTGCTATGTCTTTAAAACAAATTATTAAGAAATATTATATTCTACAATAAAATTTTTTTAAATTTCAAATTCTCTCTTTATTGTTTTTATTTTTATTAAGATTTTTCTATTTTTTTATTACCTTAAAGTTAAGTAAGGAGAGATATAACAATTTTCTTCCTGGTTTTTATTTTTATATTTTTTTTAAATCTCAAATTTAATTTAATTTATTTTTATTTTTATCAAGAATTTTTTTCTTTTTTTAAAAATAATCTCAAATTATCTTCTTTTTATTTATATTTTTTTATTGAGATTTATTCTTCTTTTTTTTAATATCAAATCATCCTTCTTTATTTATGTTTCTATCAATATTTATTATTTTTTTAAAAAAAATCTTGAATCCACGTATCAAATAGTACATCGAGATGGAAACATGTTTATTTGCAGATATCCATGAAGACACGACAATTTTGTAGATGTCCATGAATATTAAGATATGTCCAATTTGTATGGATAATATCAAAATGTTCGAGACACGTCTACAATGTGTCCGCTACTAAAGAGCGTCATCAAAATGTTCGAGACACGTCTACAATGTGTTCACTACTAAAGAACGTCGAATTCAGGAACATGACAGTCTCATGCCATATCCATGTAACATAGAATATAAGTGAGTTTTAATTTTAATTAAGCAAACTTATTATTTATTTATTTATTTTACATGAACTCAAAATAATAATTATAAATCTTAGAAGATAGATTTTTTTTTATAGAGATCATAATCAAAATTATCCGATACTAGAAAGATATTCGGGCTGATTAATATTTGACATAAGAAGATATTAAAGTATGTTACTTAAGTGCAAAGAACAATCCTAAAAACACATACCATAGTACATCTGAATTTTATTCATTCAATTAATGAAAATTCATATAATAAAATTAGGCTACCTAACTGCAGGTTACTAAAACTCAAATTTTAAGTTTACATTTAATTTTATAAATAAAAATTCACATGTTAAAAAAATTCTAACATATAAATCTGAAGTAAAAAATCCCTTTTTAAATTTACATTATCTAGACTAACGTACAAAAGATATTTTGTATTTTTGTGAATTATCTTAAAAAAATAATAAATAATAAAAGTCATATTATAATAAATAATACATCGATTAGAAAAGAATAAAAAATTTATAGTTTATAAAAATATAGTTATAAAGATAAAATTGTATATAAAAAAAATTGTGGACGGAATAGTCCAATTTATTAATAGCAAATATTTCCCCGTTGGACCGATCTGGATGACGTTTCTTAGCCATTTGTATGAGCTAGGTTATGATTCCAAATATGTAGAAGAAAGGTAGGAATATTATAATAGTAGTTATTTTGTTAGAAGTTTTTGGGCGAGAGTACGTGGCCAATAAGATAAATGTGCCCGTATAAGTTTAGCACCGCCCACACGATTCTTTTGAAAATGAAATCAGGCAACTAGCAAGTATGCATGTTTTTTTTCAATTGATAAGCAAAATCTTATATACTAGTTTTTAAAAAATAATGCTATATATATATATTATATTAATTCTTACATAAATCAGATCCATTTGAATAAAAAACGTTTAAGTCCATTTTAATACACAACTAATTATTTATTGTTGTATTTTTTTTTATAAAAAATATTTTTCGATTTTATGTATGGTTAATTATACATATGTTTGGATTTCAGTCCAGAAAACTCATTTTTTAATAGTTTAATTACTCTTTTAGTTTTATAATTTTATAAACTTTATTTTTTAATTTTTATAGTTAAAAAAACAAAATATTTTTTTTTTTATTTTTATAATTTCACTTATTTTATTTTTTTAGTCTCTATAATTTAAAATTAATATTTTTAGTCATTATACTCATATTTTTTTAATTATTTTTAATTTATATAATTAACTTAAGATAAATCTTTTTAATCTCTATATTTACAATTTTATAATAATTTTAGTTTATATTATTTTTTTTATAACACTATTTATTTTGTATTAACGTGTTAGAAGTCTTTGAAAATAAAAAAATATATCTTAATAATGGACGTTGTAAATAAGAATGAAAAAAAATATAAATTATTGAAAAACCTAATTTATAATAATTTCAACAAAATAAATTTAACATAATACACATAAAATTGAATTAATATATTTATCATGTTAATTCAAAAGAGACATCTTAAAATAAAACTATTAATAGAGATTAAAAATATTTAAAAAATTACAAATATAAAGACTGAACAAATTTATCTTAAATTATACTCATTAAAAAATATTAAAAAAGATAACTATAAACTTAAAAATATTTATTTTAAACTATAAAAATTAAAGTAAAGTAAGTGAAATTATAAAAATTAAAAAATATTTAACCTTAAAAATCTTTTTATTATAATTCTTATACATACTATTTTTTTAATTCATATATCTTCTAATTTTATAAGAATTAAAAGAGAAATTTTATACAATTATAAAAACTAAAAGAAAAACATTTATGCATTATACATAAAGAAATAATTTATACGAATACAGATACTAAAAAAATGGTAAATATAAAAACTAAAATAAATATTTAATAATAAGAACTAATTTTTTTTTTATAAAATTATAGAAATAAAAGTAATTAAACTATTTTTAATTCTCAAAGCAAATTTTTTTACTTCAGTATTGAAATTCACAAAAATACTTTTACAACTTTAATTTATATAGCCTAGAATATTTTCTTTCAATTATTATTTTTTTCTATAAATAATATTGTAAGCAGAAACTTTATTTAAAGAATTTAACTCCAACTGAAGTAAGGTGATATAGAATTAGAATAATTTCTGAGTAGCAAATGCCAAATGAGTATTTTATTAGCAAAAAATGCTAAAAGTTCCAGGTGAGCTTACTAAATTTATAGAAAAAATTATTGAGTAAAAAGAATATTATCGGAATCTGTATTGTACATTTGAAGATGTGAAGAGTGTGACAGAGAAAGGGAAAGAAAGAGAGTTTGCATTCGCAATTGCATTGATGAGTTGTAAGAGTGAGTGGAAGGTGGGGTCAAATCAAAGCTAAACTCACCAACACACACTGTAATAAAACCGTGTTGTTATGAGAGTTCTTAGATGGCACACCACTGCTTCAACTGCTGAACAATCCGAAACCGACATTCTCCGTCAATTTCTGTGTGCTACTTTCTCTCTCTCTACTTCTCAAAAATCCCATTTTTCCTTTCTCTCTTAAGTCATAACTTCTCTGTTGCTCACCTCAGTTTCCCTTTGTTCTTGCGATTTTACTGTTTTGGGTCTTCAGCTCTTCCAGTGAAGGTTTTAGGCTCATAATCTCAGGTGTGTTTCATCCCCTTCTTCTTTTTTCTGGGTTTGTTTACTTTTGTGTGTTTATTTCTTTCTGGGCACATGTGGAATGTTTTGATGAGTTGCTCTTGGATATTGTAGAGAGGGGTTTATTTTATTGTATTTTTTGTTTTTTTTTTCTTCCTTATTTCACCTTGGTAGGCTCAAAAGTTTTTTCCTTTTTTTGTGTGTGGGTATGGGGGTGTTTAAATCTGCTGTTGGGATTTGGGATTGGGGTTTTGGCCAGGCTGTGGCTGAAAATTGGTCTCTGTGTGTGTGTTGTTTTTTTTTGCTTCATGGGAAAAATATAATGGAAAAATTGGGCAAGGTTCCCCAGAGAATCATCTTCTCTTCTGTGTGTCAATTTCACAACCCCCCCCTAATTTTTCACTCTGCAAAATATTTGATAATTAATTAGGTTTCATGCTTGTTTCTATTTTAATAATTAGAGAAACTTGAATGAGAATACATAAACACCCGGGGTTCATGATTCACGGATCAGTTTTTTTTTTTTTTTATTTATTTTTTAAATTTAAGATTTTAATTTTCTTCATAGTATCTGAATATTCCCGTCAGACGACCATATGCACTGTGTATAAGGAGTCCATGCCTTTTTTTCCTGTTCTTGAAAACTTTTTTTTTTTAATTTTTTTTTTATATGTAGAATAGAAAGTACTTTAGTGGGATAAGGCTCTGTTGTTGTTGCAGAATAGGAAGTATCTAAGGCTCGTTTTGATTATTGTCTTGCTTCTTGATCACGGAGTAGACAATTGTGCGAGTGGTGGTTGAAACTTTTGGAGTTTTTCTCTTTCTTGCTTGAGTTTTAAGAATTTCTTGCTTTTGATAATGATATTCTTCTCTTTTATTTTTCTTTTCTTTCTTTTCACTTTAGAGGGGTGAATGATGCCATACCTTGTCTTATTTATGACAGAGAACCAACTGAATAATAATTTATAACTCGGTGCATAAAAGATAATCTTGAATTCTGTTGCTTTCCTTTGCACACGTGCACTGTGCACCCACAAAATTTATGTATTTAGCAGTACTTCATTTTGTATTTGATCTTGTTAGTCAATATTTACTATTAAAAAATAAAATGGCAAATAAATGTTAATTTGAACATGTCATGCCTTTCTTTGATAAATCAATTAATTAGAATACTTTTACTTAAGTAATGCTTATTTGCTGGTGAACTTCCAAATTATTGACTTTTGATATTATGATAGGAACTCAAAGGTTTTCAAGAAAAGTTGAGCTTGGTCAATGTGGTAATGCAATAGTCAGACAGGTCTACACTCTACACCTGGTCTATTGCTTTTATTTATAAGGACTTGGGAGATTTTGTTTGCCAACAGAATAAGATTTTGAAAAAGCTTAGACTTATCATAGAGTTGCTATACTACTGCTAGAAATTAGAATGCATCTTTGAATATTGATAAAGAACAAAAACATTAATGGATTAAGGATTGCTTCTTTTGTCTATGAATTTAAAGTAAAAATTTCACTATATAAGCATTTGACTTTCATCCACTGACAGGGTAAAGAGTTGTACATCAAAAGAAAACCATATAGTGCCGTGTGTTTAAAAATCTTTTCTTGCTATAATGATGTTGCCTTTTTGTCTATTGATAATGATAATATAAAAGGGTTTATACCCCAGTTGATTGAAATTGCTCTCATAATTTAACAGAGGACGTGGCTAGGAAGTTACTTAGATCATATAAGGGTATTGAAATTTATATTTGGTAAATGTTGAACCCTGTTTCACTTTCTCTTTTCAGGTATAACATCCCTCAAGTTTTCCTGGAAGCTAATTGATTATTGGCAATGAGCAATCTGAAGCTAGGTGTGGAAGTTGTGGGTGCTCATGATCTTATACCCAAAGATGGGCAGGGCTCATCTAGTGCTTATGTGGAGCTTCACTTTGATGGTCAGAAATTTCGAACTACAACTAAAGAGAAAGATCTGAATCCTGTTTGGAATGAGAAATTTTACTTCAATGTTACTGATCCAAGCAGATTGCCGAATCTCACTCTTGATGCCTGTATATACCACTTTAACAAAAGCAATAATTCCAAAATCTTCCTTGGTAAGGTCCACCTCACTGGACCCTCATTTGTTCCGGATTCTGATGCTGTTGTTTTGCACTACCCTCTGGAAAAGAAAAACGTTTTTTCCCGCATAAAAGGAGAGCTTGGTTTGAAGGTATTTGTTACTGATGACCCTTCAATAAAATCTTCAAACCCTTTACATGATGTGGAACCCTCCATGGACACTGACCATCGCTCAACCCCAGATCATACTCCAGTTTCATTCACAAATTCAATCCTCAGCGTCTTTTCTCGCAAGAAAAATGAGACAAAGCACACATTTCATAACCTTCCAAATTCACATGAAGAAAAACAGCATAAATCTTCATCTTCAGCTGCTGCAAAGACAACTAAAGACCATGGGACGCATGAGAATAAATCTGGACTGCCTTCTCCAAAAGTTTTTCATGCATATCCAGGTTCATCATATCCAATGGATTATGCCTTGAAAGAGACAAGCCCTTTTCTTGGTGGGGGACAAGTAGTTGGTGGGCGAGTTAAACGTGGGTATGGGCCAGCCAGCTCCTATGACCTTGTTGAACCAATGCAGTACCTTTTTGTACGAGTTGTAAGAGCTCGTGACCTTCCATCAAAGGGTGCGACTGGGGGCCTTGATCCATATGTGGAGGTAAAGGTTGGAAATTTCAAAGGAATTACCAAGCACTATGAGAAAACTCAAGATCCTGAATGGAATCAGGTGTTTGCCTTTGCAAGGGACAATCAGCAGTCAACTTTGCTTGAAGTTGTGGTCAAAGACAAGAATATGTTAGTAGATGAAGTTATTGGCACTGTGAAGTTTGATCTCCATGATGTTCCTACACGTGTTCCACCTAATAGTCCATTGGCTCCTGAATGGTATCGAATTGAAAAGGGCAAAGACAAGAAAAAGGGGGAGTTGATGCTCGCTGTATGGTTTGGCACACAAGCTGATGAAGCTTTTCCTGATGCTTGGCATTCTGATGCTCTCTCTGCTGGTGAAATCTCTTCATCTGCATACTCTCAGATGCGATCAAAAGTTTACCATTCACCAAGATTATGGTATGTTCGGGTTAAGGTGATCGAGGCACAGGACTTACTTGTATCAGAGAATTCCCGAGTCCATGATGCCTATGTCAAGTTACAGATCGGTAATCAGATTTTGAAAACAAAACCAGTTCAATCAAGGACCCTGGTTCTGCGTTGGGATCAAGAGCTGATGTTTGTTGCTGCTGAAAGTA